ACCCCCTTTACATCAGGGGTTACAAAAATTTACTCGTGAAAGAATTAGCGAAGTTCGCCTTTGTGCGATTTTTGCCTAACGCGCTCGTATACACGCGGCTGGTTGGCTTCCTTTGGCTTAACGCGTTACTCGCTTCCACCCTGCTCTGTTTTTCGCTCGAATTCAATTACACGGCATTCCCTTTTTGAGCGTTTACAAAATTAAGAAAAAAGGAGGGAGGGAAAGAAAAGCGAAGAGATTCGGAACGTTCTATATTCGTTCCAGTTTTCGATTCGAAACAAAGCTGTTGCGACGGAAATCCGAAGTACGGTAACGAGGTTGTCGGGAGAAGGAGGAGGAGGAGGAGGAGGGGGAGCTAGCTTCCTCTCCCTCCAAATTACAATTTTCCTCAGGGCGGTTTATTCCTCATTACTTTAATTACTGCAAAAGAGAGATGCCTCGCAGGACGAGGAGAGCGAGAAACGCGAGAGGACGATCGCGCTGTTCAGGTGCACGACCGTCTCGCGGACGATCCGAACGAGNNTGTGCCACGAGGTCGAGCTCGTCGTCGAGTCGTTTCATAACGACCCTTCGGTCGAGGAAGAGATCCAACCGGATAATAAAAATTCACGATTACACGTATCCCCATTATTTCCCATTATTATCGCGTATAAATTAAGCTCGCGGTGAAGTACTTTCTCCCTATCTCTTCCAATCGAATTTTTCCTTTTTAATCAGCAATGAAACACCGTCCATATCCTCGATTACACGCCCAATTTTTTCCATCTTACTCTTTTCGATTCGATCGAAAAGAAATTTATCCTTCGTCCTTTACTCAATTTTACACGTTGCGTTTTTTAACGACGTTTAATCTTTGTAATCTTTGTAGCTCGAAGGTTTCGTTTACGACTCGACATCGTTAATTTAGCAATTATTAAACGCGGTATCTGGGTCGGCGGGGTAGCGGAATTAGGACGGTGTTACATCTTGGACGGTTCTTTCATCGGGCGTCGATGGCCTCGTTACGATCGAACGCTATCCCCCCNACGCACAGATATTCACGGCGAATTAGAGGAACGTGGGGCGGCGAGCAGAGCGTTAAAAGGGATCAGTCTGAATTTCGACGTTCTCATTACGCGCGTCATAACGAGCTCGGCGGAGAGAAGGAGCGGGAACGAGCGTTGCACAACCGTTGAAAGCTACCTGCTGACAATGTCGGCCCAACAAGAGCGGTTCCAGACTTATTCATGGCGCGTCATATCGCGGCTGAAACTGGCAGTTATGCAGCTGTATACCGTGTACGGACATCGGCCGTCTGCGGTCACGAGCGTTGTTTCAATCTCGGAAATTTCCAAATCGAGTGTGTCCGTCATTACGGGACGGCGACTATGAACGCTGGTGCTCGTCCTATGGATATGGCCACGATCGCTACCCGGGATATATCAGTTTCCCCCGTTTCCCCGTATATCGGAACCCGTTATCGATGCCTCCTCTCCCCCCTCGTATTATCGATATTAGCCGTCGGTCGAGGAGAAACCGGTGCTCGATTACGATATGAAATTTTTCACCGACGGAGGGAACATTATCATTTTACCTCCACGCCTCTTTCTATCTTATTTTCTTTTCCTTCCTTTCTCCCCTCCTCTCTCTCTCTCTCTCGTCGCCGTAAAGGACGAATAACGCAATTACGTATTCGCTGCTGGCGATCCCGGGAATCGACCACGAAAATGGACGAAAGGGAGGGAGATGAAAGAGCGCGATAAAATATCGCGATCGGTAAATCGAGCCGCGAAGATTTATCGCAGCGAATCGCTTTTCGAGCTTTGTCGGACGAACCAACCGGTGGTCAGTTTCACGAAATCTCCAATTCCGCGGGGAAGGATCCATGTCGAATTTCTGGAAGGAGAGGGGACGAGAATGTCACGGGAGTGACAAAAATATAACGGGAGAGGGGAAACAAAGCTGTATACATTTCGCGTGGACATCAGAACTGCATCACAGCCATCTTTCTCCATTCTTCGAAACTCGCGCTATCGACGACTCGGCTGACGTCGAGACCAAAAATCCTATTCGTATAGCGGAAGATACATTTCGTCCAGTCGATCTGACAGTGATTTATAGGCGAGAATGAAAAGCGGAAAGGGAAAAGTGGGGGGAAAGGAAGAGAGAGGGGGAGGAAAGGGGAAGGGAAAGCATCGGTGTAATGGAAGAAACGTTGAAGAGATCGATACTTCGCGAAAACGAACGGAAGAAGAAAAATACTACTTCGGTACAGATCGTTCCTCTCCTCTCTTCGTTTTTCTTCGTTTTCTTTTCTCGATATCGAGGCTAATTGCACAAACTCTAGGATTATTGGAAACAGGATAATTGATGGTAATTATCCAACTTAACGCGATTATACTATACGCCATTGTTTTACTGTTTATCCTCCTCTCCAACATTCTACTACGATAGCCTTTCTTTTCAACGTTGCGAGGTAAAAATTAAAATATTGCTCATTTCTCTCCACAAAGAGGAGGGACAAGTTTTTCGCGTATGCTTAGAAACGATGAATAATTCAAAAAAGAAAAATATTAACGTTTTCGAAACGTGTTTTCAAAATGGATATATTTCACGTTACTCGACAATCTCTCTCTATCTTATCGTGAAACTCTACCAACTCGTTCGATCGGTGTTGACCCAACTTTTATCGTCGATGAACAAAGATCGAGCATTAAAAACGTTTTAGAAACGAATAACGATTCATCTTCGAAGAGCGGAATTCGAGGAAGGAAAAGGAAAAACGAGAAGGATGACGATCTAAGAATGTTTTCGATTAATTCGTTCGTTCACGGCAAGGAATCACTCGTGCGAACTCGTGTTACGTCTGCATCAATCGAAGTAACGGATTGATTCAAGATCGATCCATGTATATATTCGTTACTCGACATTTGGAAAAAATTTTAATCGTAGTATTTTAATGGTTCTTTTTTTATTCTTGGTCTACGTGAAACTTGCATTTGTGCGTTTTCACGATTTTTTCCTTCTCACTAATCCGCTTATACTCTTTCTGATATCGACACGGGATCGAGAAAAGTAGCTATCCGTTCCAGCTACGCGACAGTGATTTATAACAAGTTGAAAATCGGGCCAAAATATAAAAATGCCGCGATACAAAATTTCCACGAAAATATTAGACATATATGGAACGAGAAGTAGGCTGTTATTCAAGACGTAAATACTTGGAAAAAACTCGGAAATTTATTTTGGAATATTTACTTCGTTTCGCGTAATATTTCCATATTGGTCTCTAAATAGATAAATACGAAGTGAAAATTATATATTCGTGTGATAACGTCTACTACTGTAATTACTTTTTAATCATATTACCGTGAAGCTAATAAATATCATTGAGCGTACACACGTTTAATATTGAAAATTATAATAAAAGCTTATGAAATTCTATTTGATTGCAATAATAATAATAATAATAATAATAATAATAATAATAATAA